CCCCCCTCCTTGCTCGGCTCGTGCCCGCCTTCGATGGCGCTCGTCGGGAACATTCGCTCTGAGGGGTGAGGGGTGGCGGAGGAAGAGAGGGGGGGAATGAGGAGGAAGGAAGAGAAAGGAGGGAGGGAGGGGAGGGGGGAGGGGGGGGGGGGGGGGGATGAACTCATGGATGTGTGGACGGCTGGCGGTGGGCGGAATGGGTGGGTGGGGGTATGGTTGTGCAGAGACAGCGGGCATGATAGTGCGCAGCATCACCGGCAAGTCGTACGAGGTGGCGTTGCCGGCTTCAGCCAAGGTGGCGGACATGAAGGCAGCGCTGGAAGAAGCGTCGGGCATTCTGGCAGAGCATCAGATTCTGCTCTGGGAGGGCCGCAAGCTGGACGATGAGCGGGCACTGGGCTCGTACGTGGTGCGCGAGGGCTCGGCCGGAGCAGCCGAGATGCTCTCGCCGCGGTCGACCGGCTCGATCTCGTCGTCGGACTCGGGCGGGGTGGCGGCGTCGCCGGCGACACCGTCGTCGATCTTTCTGTTCTCGAAGCAGTTTCTTGCGCCGTCCAAGAGCAGCACGGCGACGGCGGCAGACGCGTCGCTCCTCGAACCGGTGCTCCCGCCGCTGCCTGAGCCGCTCCCGCTCTCGCCGGTCAACCGGTACAACCCGACCGGGGCGCGGTCGAGCGAGGCGACGACCAGCGACGTCATCGCTCAGTTTGAATACCACGCGCGGCGGGCTGGCTCTGTCCTCACTGCGGCTGCGGGCGTTGTCCGCGCCATCCGCACCTCGATGTCGGAGCAGTACGTCCAGGCGCAGGCGCTGTCTGCAGCGTACACCAATCTGGGCGTCCACGCCAGCCAAGTCTTTTCGGCGCACGACACATACTCAGACTACTACGCGCGGGTCTCGGCTACGCACGACCGGCTCCTCTCCGGGTTTGAGGACAACGTCTCGCGAGTCGGCACGATCTCGCTCCCGCCGACGCTGGCGGCGCAGTTTGGCGCATCTTCGCTCCTCGACCGCGTCTCGCTCGATTCGCTCCGCAAGTGGAAGACGGCATGGTCGGGGCGTCGCGAGTCGTTTGCCTCCAAGATGACGGATCAGGCGAAGCGGGCTAGCCAACTTCGTGACGCCATTGCTGCCGCCACAAACAACTCGGCGCTCGACGTCTCGATCGACGGACTCTCGGAGCTCCACGCGGATGCCGAGGGCATCGAGACCGAGATGGAGGCCATTGTCCAGTCGTTTGCCGACGACGTGACGACGGTCCGGGGCTGGGCGCCGCGGGCGTTGCTGACGCACGACACGGCGCTCGACGCGCAAGCCATGTTCAAGCGGCACGGCTCGCTCCTGCTCATGCTCCATGATGGGTACGATCGGCTCGTGGCCCGGGCTCTTGAGGTCCGCAGCCATCAGGAGCAGACGGCGGCCAACACGGCCGAAGCGCTGGTAGCGCTTGCGCAGATGCAGTCTGAGCTCAAGGCCATGGGCGATGCTCTCCCGGTCCACACCAAGGCGCTGCAAGCAGAGAAAAAGGCGTTCCGCCAGTTTGTGGTGCTCGAGCGGTTGCCGTCGGCGTACTACGCCGGCCTTGTCGAGGCCGTCCGCCGCAACCGGTTCAACTCTGCGCTCCGGGCCACACTCGCCGGCTACATCGACGCCATCTGGAGCGCGCTCCGGCTCGAGGCCCGTGCCCGGGTCCGGTTCCACAAATCGCGCGGCAAGTTCCTCACAGATTCGGTCCTGCCGGGCCTTTCATCGCGCTCGGTCCGCATCGACGTGCCGCTGAGGCTCTCGTCGCACGACGCCGAGAAGCCGGCAGTGCCCGAGCTGGACCCCGAGCTCCCGGCGCTCTCGCTCGAGGAGCTGCAGGACTTTCTCGGCGATGACCTCCCATACTGGCTGCTCGATTTGGCGTCGCCGGAGCTGGACCGCTCCAACGTGTCGGACGTCGCGGCGTCGGTGTCGTCGCTCGGCTCGCTCTCGCTCGGGCTCTCGCGGTCGGGAGTGGAGAATCCTCCTGTCGACGCAGAAGCGGGTGCCGGACTTGACCTCGATCCCGCGACGCTGCTCGACGCCACCTCGGCCCCGCTCGCCAGCCGGACTGTGGCGCAGCCTGCTGCAAACGTGCCTGTCGACGCCGCGCCGGTTCCGGACGCCGCACTGGTCGCAGAGATGGAGGCTGGGCGTGCAGGGCTGGAAAGCGTGCTGGCCGCGGTCCCGCGGTTGGCGGCTAGCGCGCCGGTGGTGGCAGCGCTGCAGAGCCAGGTCGATGCGCTGGCGACGCGAGTGGCGGAGCTCGGCTCAATCGGCGAGGTTGCCGCACTCGCCGCGCGAGTTGATGTGCTGCGAACCGAGGTCGAGCACGCCGGCGCTGCATGTGCGGCTGAAGAGGCTGCCGAGTCGAGCTCGCCGTCAGGCGTCGATGCGGCAGCACTCGAAGCCGAGCTCGAAGCGACCAAGGCAGCGTCGGCCGCGCGCGAAGCCGAGCTGGAGAGCAAAGCCGAGCAGGCCGCGCAAGCCGCGCGGGTCTTCCACTCGCAGCTCAACGACCTCGGGCAGGCGATGCTTGCGGCGCTGGGCCGGATGCAGCAAGCAGACGAGGACGCGCCGCTGCCGAACCTTTCCAAGGTGCTGACGGCGATGGAGGCGTGCCACGCGAGAGCGGTGGCCGAGCTTGAGGCTGCGCAGGAGCAGCTCTCGGAGCGGGCAGTCCTCGCCGACTTTGCTACCGGTGACCTCGTGGTAGTGGTGGCAGGCGACGATGCCGAGCGGTGGCAGGTGGTGACCCGCGACGGCGAGGCTCGTCATGTGGTGGCGAGCGCCGATGTGGCGCGGCTGGCTCCGGTGGCGCACGGCGCACCGTGGCTGCTCGCCCGCCTCCTAGCGGTGGCGCCCAGTGACGATGGCAGCGGAATGGTGGTCCGGGCCGCGCCGCTCGCGCTTGATTTTTGATGCAGTGTACCGTCGTGGCTACGTCGAGCTTGCGGTGCGGACAACGGTGACCGCCTGCTTGGCTACACTCTTAGTCAGCTCGATAAACTTGGTGTCCGGGAACGAGAGCTCGTCAGCGCGGAGGCGGGTGACAACGGCGAGCATGGCCGACACGAGCTTATCGCACTCGATCTTGGTCGCAGCCTTGGCCGCCGGCAGCGCGGCCGAGAACGCCTCGCGGCTGAGCGTGCGCCCTGTCTTAATGGTCTCCATCAGCGTGGCCGAGATCGACGACGCCGACTCGTCCGACTGTGACGCAACCAGCATGGTCCGGACTTTCGCCACAATCTCCTGACCAAGCGCGCTGATGGAAGCGCGGAGCTCGGGGGACATGGTTGCTGGAGCCGGGGCCGGGGCCGGGGCCGGGGCCGGGGCCGGGGCCGGGACCGGAGCCGGGCCGGGCCGGGCCGGGGCCGGGGCCGGAGACACAACCGCCTGCTGCGGCAGGCCATAAGGGGTGAACCGCGACTGGAGATAGATACCTTCAGCAATGTAGATGGCGGCAGCCTTGATGTCGGCGAGTAGGGCGGTGAAGCCGGGGTCGGGAAAGTCGGCCACCGACTTCATGTAGTGAATCATGTCAGTGCAGCGGCGGGTGAGGGCTTCGGCCTCCGTGGCCAGCGGTGGATGTTCGGCGCCGACGTCGCGGATGGCAATGATACGCTCCATGAGCGAAGCGACGAGCTTGCCCATGGGCTCGGTAGTCGCCTCGACCCGGGCCATCATGTCGAGCTGGTCGACAGCCTTGTTGCGGATGGCGAGAATGAGGCCGGCCTGCGGATGGACCGAGAGCTCGACAGTGTCGGCCACGACTTCCTCTGTCGGCAAATCGCCGTCCTCAAACGACGGCGCTGCCGACGCCATCAGAGAGTCGAGCGCATCCAGTGCGCTCTGAGGCCCGGCTGCCGCCGTGGCCGCGGCCTCGGCGCCCATGACATTGTCAAAGGCATCAAAGGAAAAGTCGAGCCCGTCGATGTCAGGCTCGCCCGCCGACGACGCCGCCACCACCCCGTCAAAGTTGAGCATATCTTCCAGCGAGACCGGCATCTCGCCGCCGATCGCCTCGACCGCCTGCCGGTGCACGTCTCAGGTGAGTTGGGGACGAGAGGAAGGGGCGGGAGGGGGCAGGGGGAGGGAGGTGGGGAGGGATGGGGTGCTCAACCTACCGACTGCACAAAGGCATCGTCGGCGAGCGAGGTCATGAGGTCGTCCAATAGCGGGTCGCTCATTCGACGTCGCAGAGGGAGAGGAGCGAGAGAGCGAGAGAGAGAGAGAGAGAGAGGGTGCGGTGAGAGAGCCAGCGTGCCCGGCTTCGTCAAAACAGAAGACGGCGCCTGCTATCACGTGTCCCGGCATTGTTGCATTCTTCAACCGGAGCATTGCCCCAACTCGACCGAGGACGGCCCCGTCAGTGGGATCATGTGGAAGCAGTGCACCTGCATTATTGGCGCCCCTGCATCCAGGCGTTCAGCTTCTTTCTCGTCGGCCATCACGCCGCACCAGATCGCCCGAACTCCGACGAGTGAGACGCGTACAATCTCTCGTTCAAGCTAGAAGCTACTACTGCTCGACAGGATGAGAGCAGGGGTGAGCGCGGCGCACGTGGCGCATCAAGCCACCAAGCAATGGAAAGCCCAAGCCCAAGCCCAAGCCCAAGCCCAAGCCCAAGCCCAAGCCCAGCAACAGCTGCTTGGTCTCGTTGCTTCGCGCGCGATGGCGGTCGGTTTCGCTGGGCCGTCGCCGCAACGCGCACCAAAAATCGATCGGATCATGATCGCGCGCTGTACACGGACACGACGGCATGGCCCACCCCCCCTACTAAGGGTAAAAAGGCTTTACAGAGTGCGATGTTGTGGGTTGTTGGCTCCACATGAGGAAAAGCCGTCTGTGGCTCTGTGGCCTTTGACCCGGTCAGACTGAATCGGCCGATTTTCGCACGCAGACCAGAAGCGGCTGCCGAGGCCTCGCTCCCGATCGAGCACGCCCAATCTGCGCACGGCTACGGCCTGAACCGATGGGTGCCGGTTTAGACATGGAGCGAGAAAGGCTACAGCTCGACGAGCGGCTTGATGGTCGAGGCCTTGGAAGGATAGCGGGTAAAGACAAAGTACGGGGTGAGGTCGCACTGGCACTCGGGGCAGTCGCCGTCGTGGTTGCAGAGCCCGTCGTAGAGCCGCCACAGGTCGCCCGTGTCCATCGCCTCGAGCCGGTCACGGAGCGAGGCGGCAAAGGAGTCGCGGGCGGTGGCGTCGGCGACCCGCTTGGCGTGCGCGGCCCGGATGAGCATGAGGTACATCTTAACTGCCTTGTCGTCGGGATCCGAGTCCGGGGCGGTCATGTCTGCGGCCTGGAGGAGCTTGGGCACGCCAAGCACGTTGTGCGCCGCGTCGTACGCAGCCTCGTGGTTGGCCACGTGGCCGTCGGCCGAGATGGCGCTGCCGTAGTCGAGGTACTCGTTGTCGAGCGCGTTGAGGAGGGCACCAAAGGCGCGCCCGTCCTTGAACGACCCGGAGAGGTCGCCAACATGCACGCCGTCGTACTGTGGCTTGTCGTTGACATGGTCCTGCACCCACTTGAGGATATCGTCCGACTTTGACCGCGACGACTTGTCACCGCCCACAAACTCGACAAAGAGAGTAAAGATAAAGCCGAGCACAAGCTCGCGGTTGCCGTCGACGAGGTTCTCGTTCGAGTACGACCCGCGGAAGCCGTGCTTGCGGAAGAGCTGCATCGCGAGGTCAACGTTCTGGATCTTTTGGATCCGGAACTTGGGCCGCTTCACATGCGGCGCGCAGTAGTCCTCGGTGAGGAGCTCCGCGAGCGGGATGAGAAACAGGCCGTCGTCAAAAGCCTTGGAGATGTCACGCTGGACGTGGAGGCCGACCTCGGCGAGAATCGAGTTGACCCACCCGGCAAACGCGTACTTTTGCTGCTTCACCCACATCGGCTCGTTGGCGTCGACCTGCGCCACCGTCGACGCCTCCTCCACCACGTTCTTCTTGGCCGCAGAGACCATGGCCCGCATCTCGGCCTCGCGTGCCGCCTTTTGCTCTGCCGCAATCCGCGCGTACCGGATGTTCATCTTCTCCTCCTCGGTCATGTCGTCGGTGATCTTGAACGGGTCGTCGTCCTCCTCCTCGTCTCCGTCGGCGGACGGCCCAGCATCCGCCGCAGCCTCGGACGCCGCCGCGGGTT